GGTGTTTTTCTTTTGCAGGACATGGAAATTCTGGATATAACCAGCATCCGAGACACCCGAATAGGGAAATTTGCCAAGATCCCCAAGGTGAGTCTATGGCTCCTTTCTATCATAGGCCAAGCCCTGAGCAGAGCACAGGCTAGTGTTTGTGGGGAACAGGAGTTTCCAAGCTGTGATGTGTATGAGTGTATATGGAAAGTGGTATGACAAAAGCTGCTAACAAAAAACAAGCCTGTCCTTTTCAAACACACAGTCACTGTAACATGCCCTGTAGCAGGCAAGAAGATGCCCAAGAAGCAAAAATGACTTCCTTGGCTGTAAATGACACTGCCTGACCAGACAACCATAGTAGTTTTATTTAGCAGTGTGCTGTATGAGGTGGCTGCTCAGCAAGCAGCATACATTCTGCTGGCACACAGCTGCTTGGCTTTCTGTTAGGCCTAGCTTTCTGCTTGTGCCCAGCTGCGCTGCCTGAACTACTGAGGCAAATTACAGTGGTCCACATCCCACTGCCAGAGCTTCTCTTATATGATAAATGCATACAAGGGTGGCTCAAACAGGCTGCAAAACCTGCAGTCACTGGGAGCCCTGCACTATGTAGACACTTCACCTTTAAGAGATTTTCCATTTTTCTGCTTGCAGGGTGAGTTGTTTTAAGGACATTTGTGCTTAGGCTCTTGTCTCAGGTGTGATTTAAGCTTCCTGAAGCAAAAGGGGTTAAGTGGTATCTCAGTCAATTGACTTTTATTTTTTGAGTATTGGAGTTACTGTTCTGCATTCTGAGAAGCTGACTACTGTTCTGCAGCTGTTTATCAGAAATAGTATTAGTGTTTTTGTTTTCAACTTCCCCTTCCATGGCAGAAACAGAAAGGTAGAAATGAGGATGGAACGTGAAAAGACACACAAGAGAACAAAGATAAAATGACTACAAGCAGGGGCTGATCCAAAGGGGGTGCAGTGGCACAGCTGCGTCACCCTTTCAGACTGGACTGTGCTGCTAGAATCTCTGGGAACTTTAAAAAAAAATCCGAAAGCAGAAAAGAGCTCCCCCTTCCCCTCTGTGCTCAGAGGCATGTCCCCTCCCCTCCCTTTCCTTCATCTCCCACCTGCTATGCTGCTTTCCCCACTGTACAAAAATGTTATGCTGGCTTAAGCATCCCTACAACCAATGGCCGCAAATGGATAAATCTTGTGGTTTAGGACTTTCGTTTGAAAAAGGGGCAGGGGGAATGGCGTTCACCAAATAATCATGCCATTGAGTGCTGGAAGTCTGGTGTTGAAGACAGTCAAAAACAATTTCATAATAGGGTGCTGTCTAGGTATGGAAGACTACCTTAAGGCTGTGTTTCAAAGGATTACCAATGACGTACTGCAGGAGTGCACAGTGTTGTCCATGCAGATGACATCCTAATAGCCGAGAGAAATTCAGAGGACAATGCCACAATATGGCTTTAAATTAACAAATATAAATATGCTTTTTCATATTCAGGTTTTTGATTGAGGCATTTTGTAGATGCAGAAGGGATACCACCCATTAAAAGTAATGGCAAAGAGTAATGTCTGGATTGGACCCATAGGCTCCAGATTGCTTAAAGATTAGGCACCTAGCTCCAGAAGGGTGATACAAAGAAACAATGAGATGCCTGGACTCCATTTCTGTGCAGCCAACAGAAAAAGCTGGGCTTCTGGTAAAGATGATTCGAAGAGCTTGGACACAGACTGGGGAGTTGTCTTGGGCTGATCAGTGGGAAATGCCAATGTAGGAGTGTGTCTGGACTCCTGCCTGCCCCTGGAACTTTCTTGCTTAACTCAGCATTGCACACTAGGTGCCTGCATGCATTCAGGATCCAAAGCCGCAGGTTGTCTTTTAAGGGTAGGTGTCTAACTGAGAAGAAAGAGCGGTTGGTGGTGCCCACCAGTTCACCATACCTGTCAGGTTAGAGCACTCCAATGTGGCAGGGGATAGGATGAGAATCCTGCTGTATTTTTGTTTGTTGTTCCCTAATCCAGTGACTCTCTGGTGTAATAAACAGTCCCAGAGGGAGAGCATGGACCCCAGATCTTCATTTAGGCTGAGTGCCCTAAACAGTAGTCAGGCTCCTTCTTTTTCTGGCCCAAGCAATCATTCAGCCCAGCTGTCCAGCTTCTATAGGAAGATGTATTGAGCACCCCAGCCCAGACCACTCCATACCCTGCTAGATAGAGCAGTTTAATGAGAAGTGAGAGACTTGGGCAAACACTTTAGCCCTAGGTTGTTACATTGCCACTTCCATGACTTCATCTTTTGAATGTTGGGTTTTTTTTTCCTTTTTTTCCTTTCCAAGTACCTGAACTCAGTGTTGGTGTGTATGAAACGTGCTTTGAAAATGTCTACCAGCTTTGGCTCTTCTGAGAATTTAGGTGAAGATTAGGCACTGATCTGCCTTGTGTCTGCTCTATAATGGAGCTGAGGTGGGAGCTAGGAATCCAGCTACTCAGAGTAGGTATTTCTGGGTATGTGAGGAAGCCTTATTTTAGGTGATTAAGGCTGTTGCATTCCTGAATGTGAGCAATGAGCCAGTTAAGAAACATGATGAGTCTTGTGGCCACTGGAGTTGGGATAGTCATGATCACTTTTTCTGACTTAAAATCTGCCTTACTGTAGTTTACCAGATTGGATCTGACCCAGCAGCTATTAAGTATTACAGAATATGTCAGAGCTTCAGTCATTTCTGGCCATGTTAAACTGTTACGGAAGGTTCACCCCAAATCTGTCAATACTAATCAGCCCCAGGACTGCCTCTGCCATGTTACAGTGAAAAATACATAGTACATACTCTGCAGGGTTTCCTACATAAGGTAGATATTGCTGATATATTGCTGCGTGGGGGGGGATAAACTAGGAAACAGAAGTAGATATTAGGAACTGTGATATATGTTGTAGGGCGAAAGGGGAGATAATGGAGAGACATAGTTACAATTACAAGATGGGGCTCCTGGCATTTAAAACAAATGTTTTGGTTTTCTTTGGCCGGAGATGGGAGGTGGCCCCAGAAAGTAACTGAGGATAGAAGAGAACGCTTTTGTGCAAGGCATGATCCTAGCAGGATAAGTATTGTCTTGTTTCAGTTCCTCTCCCTGAGGAACATCACTGAGCATAACAAATTCACTGATTTCCCATAAGCTAAAACTGTGATTTAGCTTTTGCATGGAGATTGTTTTTAAGAAGTTTACAGGGGAACAGTGTGATGTATTATGGAAAACAGTGCTGTGGCTTTGAAATGTACCTTCCACTTCAGGTCACAGGGCTGCATGGTAGCATGTGATCATCAAGTCCTCCTTTTTAGTTTCAGCTAGGATTCAAGGTCCTTGCAACAAAGGGGGTTAAAAGGTTTCTCCGTGAGAAGGTTTTAGGTCGCAAGTGTTGGGAGATCTTGTTCTACACACTAAGAAAATCAAGTTGTTTTGCAGCTGCCTCAGAGAAGGAACTTTCCTATTTTTGCTTTTAACTTCTCTGCATATGGTAAGAGCGTACCACAAAGGGCCCCTGAACAGGAAGCTGTGACAGAGCAAGCTCTCCTTCCGCATGTACTCCAGGCCCTGAAGAGCCTGGGAGGCAGGAGTCCATAGGAAAGTCTTCCTGCCTCTTTAGGGGGGTCAAGGAAAGGGAGTGTCCCATCAGGGGCATTGGATAAAAGCCTGGGTACAAGACTAGGGAGAATCATGTGGCCTCTCTGAAATCAGCTGGCTGCAGTTTGAGTTTTCTTCTAACAGGGAAGCAGCCATGGGCTCATTGCCATTTGCCCAGCATTTAAAACATATAAGGGATTTGGAGGGGAAGCCAAGCAGCAAGATAGCTCCCTGGTCATTCTCTGTCCTTCCTACCTAGGGAACATTGATGTTAACAGCATTAGAGGGGTTGTAGATTATACATTATCAGGTGGAGCCCATGACAAGCACACATTCTTCATGGGCCCCACACAGAGAAGCAAAGTGACTTGCTCAAGGTTACCCAGGATGTCAGGGGCAAGAAAGGGCATGGAACACAAATCTCCCAGGTTCTGACCTCCTGGACAATCCTTCCTCCCCAAGAGGCCTTCAGAAGCTGAAGTTGCCAAATGCCCAGGGAAGGCCCTGGCCACATTCAGCCAAGCCCCTTCAACATCCTTGTCCCCCACCTCTACATCACATCGCTTCAGTGTGAATTCACGTTAGTGCATATGCAACACCCAGGGCTCCCACTTGCAGTTTTGAATGCGTACATCTGAAAACACCCCCTCCACCGCACCAAACACATCTTCTCTCTATTAATGGCAATATCTTGTTTCCTCTGAGAACTACTCCTGATATTTTGTATTTTCCTTGATTTACACTATATGCAAAGACAGGTGGGGTGAACTTTGGCTCAGGTTCAACACTAATCCAGACAAGAATTAGCAGCAACTTTGAATGCAAATTCAACAACATAAAAATGTCACTGAATGCAGTTCAGCAGCATGCCAGAGCATTTTAAGAAGTTATTTGTAAGCCATTTGTTTTAATTTGAGTAACATGAAAAACATAAATAACAATAGTGGCTGTTTCACCTTGTTTCTTTTTGCTGCACCGTCTGACAGATGTTATAATTAATGCTGGTTGGGAACTTCCTGTGAAAGGTTTTTCATTTGAAAACAACTGATTTCATTGAAACAAAAATTTGTCATGGCCTAGCACCTGTTTTGATGAAACTTGCTTCCCACATCCAGAATGGGATTTCTGATCACAAGAATAGAGACAGGTCCCAGCAAAGCAAGTAGTCCAGTAGATGAAGCACTCTGCCAGAACAAAGACTTAAATATCTGTTTCTCACAGCCAAGTCACCTGGCATAATCTTACTGTGATGCCTGTACCCCCAGACTATTGACTTTTTGTCTCTCTCTTTCTCATTTATATGCCAACATTTTGAATAATCATGGTGTCATTCTGCTTCCAAATAAATGTTGAACCATTAACATTTTTCATGAAACAGAATTCTTATTTTCTGGTTACTTCTCCTTATAATCAAACATTTTTGGCTTCCATAGGCATTTATTTTAATACAATCCAGAAATACTTGACACAGTTAATAGTTAAACTATTAAGGCCTGAAATATACTTGCATAAAGCAGACGTTCACATGTGGTATTTCAGACACCCATTGTTCACAAGGTGAACAGTGCTGTGTACATGAACCAATAAAGGTTGGGATTCACTAGCATTAGAGAGTGTTTCATATTGTCCACGGGATATCTCAAAGTGCTATAAAGAGTTCTTTCTACACATTGGATTAGAAAGTAGCAAAGCAGTGACTGTAAACACAGTACCACCTAATTATGGAGGTAAAACAGACTTGGGCTTAGCATCTCAGATGGAGGGCAACAACTTGAGCTGTGGAATAGCTTGTACATCTGCATGAGACACTGACTGCGCAGTAGCTCATTACTACTGGACACTCATGTCTTGTGGCAGGAAGCGTGATGCAATGCGACTGTGCAGTAGTAACAAGCTACCGTGCAGTTAGCCTCACCCAAAACCTGTTTGACAACACTACTGCACAATAACTCCAGTACAAAATGACTGTGCATAATGACTGTGCAGTCAGCATCTCGTGTAGACATGGCCACTGAGTATTTTCAGCAGTGGGTACAAATGCAGTCTTTAGATTGGACAGGACTTGAACAACCCACGAGGTGTAGGCCCAAAAGGGGTGACTTATTACTGAAGACTATGCAGGCACACACTCCTGTGAATGCGAGAGATGCAAGCTTATGTCCATAATCCATAGACTCATTTTCAAAGGCAAAGGGAAAATAAGGAGCACTGTTCAATGGAGGTTGATTTTTGTTGCTTTGGGTTATGGTTGCTGCATGTCCCCCACTCCTGTGATTCTGAATTTTAACCTGAAATGGCAGAAGAAGCTACTAATGGTGGTAGGGCCAGAATCCTTGGTTCTAATCCATGAACCCTACTTATGGCAGATTCTAGAGACATGGCAGGGTTTTCTTGTGAACCGTGATGCATGTCCCACTCTGTTCTCCAGCTCCCATACTGCTAGAAGGACCACTTCCCTCAGCTGTCTGGCAGCTGCCTATGCTCTCAGAGCGGTAAAGTGTTGTAAGGATTTTGAGCTACAAGCCCTGAGTACATTTGGCATCAGGACAGCTTTCACCAAATCAAGAATTAGCCTCAATATGTACTATTAAGGCAGTGCTAACTTCAAGAGCATGAGTTTTAGATCTACTCCTTGGCTTGGCTTTTCCTTGGACATGTTCAGCACAGATTCCCCTGTTATGTTATGAAGCTAGTACCCCGTGACTGCTCTACATAAATACCATGGCATAGACAGCATGGAGTGACATTATAAAAAATCGAGTATCATTTGGAGTATGTCTGAAGAAGGTTGTTCATACACCTCTGCTTGGTACTATATTGTGAGTGCAGGCATATCTTTGGTTGCCATTTTTTTCCTGCTGTTTCATGCGAAGAAAGGCTCTTCTCACTGCCTTTTGCTCTTTGCACTGTTTTCTGCTTTGGTTTGGTTTGGGTTTTTGCTCATATTTGCATTGGAGAATTTGCTTACCTGGCTTCTGAATCTGGTTTGTACAGGTGAAGGTATTAGGGAAATCAAGTGAATAGGAAAAGAAGGGAGATCAGAGCTTGTAAATGAATCACTGTGGTGATTGCTTTTTGAAGGGCAACTGTAAAGTCTGTTTCTACGGTTCCATTTTCTGTGGGGTTTCAGTTGTAGTCTGTCCTGTCCTGTGCTATCCTCCTTTGTATGGGGCAGCCCCTATTTTTACACTGCAGTTGCAATATGACATAATCTCGTTGTGGTGTGAAACTGCACTGTGATATGCTCAAGTTTTATGGCACTATGATTAGAGAGTGTAGTCTGAGCTCTTGATACCTTCCATTAGGTACCCTAGGGCTTCCATCATTATTAGATTAGAGTGCCTCACCAGTGCCAACTGATTTAGCTTCATAAAATGCTTCAGAGGGATATAATCCCCACTAAACAGATGAGAAACTGAGGGTTTATCTGTGCTGCATTAATGACTTGTCTTGGGGAGGATGGGTCTGCCCACATGCGCCAGAGTCATTCCTTGACCCCAGCCCCCACTCCACCAGGGTGACATGATATCAAGACATTGAAAATGCTCCATGTGGCAATTTTGCGTAGCAGAGCAGATGCATGAAGGTAGCAGCTCTGTGTGACAAAGCATTCAATTTGCCAAGACTCTGCTGTGAACCACAGAAAGTCTACACGAGTGATAAGCAACACAAAATTACAGGGGAGGAAGGGGAGGAGGGGACAGTGCGTAACAAATACAGGAAATGTGTTCAGCTGCAATTTCTCTATTGTTTTGGCTTCATGATTTACTGTGTTGGAATTAAATACTGTGGACAATCATCATCAGGTCTGTGGGATGCATTAAAGTCCTAATATAAAATCCGATATTATTGCTCCTTGTGATGAAGATCAATGAGGTGTACTGATCCCATTGAGACCAATCTGTGTATGCAGTAGTGAAAAGGAAAATGGCTGTATGTGGTTGGATGGGTGTATGTGTGTAGGCATGCGCTATACACCTCTTTAAAAAAACTGAGGATGAAAGAAAACTACTATACTATGTTAGAGATTCATCCTCTCTCATAAAACAAATGAGCTCTCTGAGTGACTTTTCCAACTATGTTGCATAGCCTTAACTCTCCCCTCATTTAAAGGCGCTTATGGTGTTCTGATTTTTGGAATTGCCCCATGTGAAGAGCTGCTTTCCTCTTGAAAGAAGCATATGTTGTTTACATGGTCCTGGGGTGAAGTCTAGCTTGTGTCTCTTTCCCTAAAGATGCCTGTTTATTACATACAGACTCATTTAAATTTTGAATAGTCTTGAAATCCATAAAAACACAATTGAAAAGATCTGAAATGAACAATCCTGTAATATATAGTGCCATAGGTGCATATTTGCATTATACAAGCATTTAAGAGCTGCTGATGCTGAGGTGTTTTGAAACTAAGGCATTACAAGTACAAATGGGATTTGAATTGCCAATTAATAGCAGAAATTTGAATTGCCATAGAATACAAGCAGATATTTGCATATGTTTTCCAATAAATTAAATTCAGAGGTGAGCGTAAGTGACTTTACAAAAGTCCAGTGTGTTACAACTCACCTTCTTCCACTTACAAGGTGCAATATTTTACTCAGATTGCTTAGACCCCCATCCCCTTAAATATTCCCTCTGAAAATAGCCTACTGTACTCATGGTACTGATTAGATATTTAACAAGCTGTTTAGCAAGATGCAGCAAGAATTCTTTGGGCCTGTTCTGTTCCTTCTGAAATTTGTGCTAGTTTTTAAGTGGCTTCAAGAGAACCAAGATGAGTCTTTGTCCAGCTGTGGCTGGAGAGCTACATTCATATAATGACTTTAGTGCATTAATTTCATCCTTTTCTTTTAAATTTCCTGTTTTGTTAAGAACAGTATCCATTGCCTCAGCATTTGAGCACCTCGCAGCTGGAACACTTTATACAGTAATGCCAAATAACTACATGAGAGTCTGTAAAAACCAATATTTCCCACACAAACATGGTCCAGTAATTAGCTATTGGTTTGACCAGTAAGGAAAGCCTAACACTTGGCAGGCTCGGGCTCTGGAGAGGGGATAGAACAGATTAGAGGTGAGGGAAGGACTAGCTTTGGAACTAGCCACTGGCAGTGTATGCCACTGAAGAAATTCCAACCATTGGCACAGGACAGTGGGGAGAATCCATCTTTCAGATAACTAGGTCCTAGGCTATGTAGAGCTTTAAAGAGCATAACCCACAGCATGAATTGCATTGCAGATAGATGATGATTTAGTGTTTGGATTAAAACTCACAGCAGTAATGTGGTGTTTGGGCCATTTATTAGGTATGTGGGGGAGCGGTCTAATGATGCTGATGAACCTTGCATTAGTAGTGTCTATCTCACTACATGTCAGCATGCCAGGCTGTTACAACATCTGCAGGGTCTTGACGTTTGGGATGTAAATTTTGCAAGAAAAAGAATTATCTTGAGATCTCTAGCATGTGCCTGAGTGAAATCCCAAGTTGCTAGAGCAATCCATCTGGCCTTCCATATTCCTGCTTGACCCAAGAAATGCAGGGCCTACTATAAAAAAGACCATCTAAGCCTCGTCCAACCACCAAAGAGGGTCACTGATTTTGGTTAGGGGAGAAGGCTTTTTGTGGGTAAGTTTGCTTGATACCTACCATTGATTCATATCTATTTGGGAATGACTGTGTACTCTCCTTTGCAGAGCCAGAAGCTCCGAGAGGTTTTTAACCTGGATTTCCCAGACAACAACTTCCTGCTCAAGACCCTGACTATCGTGTCTGGCCCTGACCTGGTGGATCTCACCTTCCATAACTTTGTCTCCTACAAAGAGAATGTTGGCAAGGTATCACTAGGCTGAGGGAAATGGGCCACCAGGCACATCCTCGAGTCATGGCATGGGGCAAAGTGGTGTTTGTATAGCTGGCAAGTGTTAGTGCAGCTGACAAGCTCGCTAGCAGCAAGAGAGAAGAGTAGGGTTCCAGTGAGAGAAAGGAATACAGTGCCCCAAGCTCCAAGCTGGAGTCCCTGCAAGCAGAAATGCAAATGAAGAAAATAGGGTGCATCTGCTGATTTACCTCATCCTCATTCCCCCTGAAGTTAACATAGATTAACAGAGAGCTGAGGGAGATGGGCAAGTGAATTCTAACTTGCATTATAAGCCTGTGGCAGAAAACAGGAGTGTAAAATTAGTTCCACCCTAACCAGGTAGTTGTTAGAGACCAGCAAGTGAGCAGTGCTCCTTGTTGTAGACAAAACCTGGGCTAGGGCAGATATCTGGCACCATTCAGACTGAGGTGCTCTAGGTGTTAGTTTTTGCAGTCTTCTTACATCTCATTGCTTCAGCCATTTGCTATGGTTTGTTCCCAGAGCTGGGCTGCGGATATCCTGGCCATCGTTAAACACCCACTTACGTACAATGCTTCTCGTTACACCTTCCTGGAGAAAATGTAAGTGGCTCCCAGTTAATACTGTTCTTCAGACCTGCAGCCTGTTGCTTCTTCTGCTTCTGTCTGTACAGGCAGCAATGTCCATGCAGACTCCTGGCAATCACCTGCTCCTACAGCTCAGCTACAAATCCTTTGTCTGAACTCAAGTACCTAAAGAACAGCTGTAATGCCAGCAGGTGAATTAATCATCACTGGTGTTGATGACTAGCATCCAAGTGCTTGGGAAGCCAGGCAAGAACATGCTCAGCATTACAGAAAAGCAGTGCAATCCCCAGGTGTAATGTATGGGTAAGATGCCCATCAGCATCACAGCTCTAACCCTGAGGAGTGATGCTTCTGTCTTCCAAGATAGTAATAATTTAACTGGCCACTAAAGAGAAATAATTAACAATAATAACCTATTTGAGGTGTTTCTCAGGCATCAAGCATGTACGGTGCTGCCAGTCTAGCTTTCACTCCCTCCTTCAGCCCTTTCTCTCCCTCCCACCAACTTCTACTTATGGGGTAAAATTGCAGTTTGCAGTCTTCTGGGACATTGCTTGGTAACTAATGCCCAAATGTGTTTCTCAATCTGTCGAACCACGTTCTCCTCCTTGAGCCCTGACACACATAGCTTGGGAACATTATACAAGTGTATTCTTGACCTCCCTGCTCTTTTTCATAGACTGGTGAAGCTGAAGATGCAGCTCAATTCAGAAGGGAAAATTCCTGTCAGAAAGTGAGTACAGGAATTTACATCTTATCACAGACCTGGTCAGGTCAAAGGTAGGGTGGCTGGGTGAAGTCAGACTCTGCCTGATGTTCTACCTGCACCCAGAAGTCTTGACCTGAACATTTTGGCCTTACCCTGAGAGGTGGGGATGGAAACTTCTGACTCATGGCTGCTTCCCAAGGGGAGGATGGGATACTGGGGTCAAGGAGTAGCCCAAGTCTCTCTGTTCTTGCCGCTGCAGCAAGAGAAAGTCCCAAGCCACTGAAATTATGCCACTGAATAAAGATATTGATACAAAACCTGGCATGGTCTGGGCTGTTATTGGGATATTATTTTGCAAACCTAAGCCTAAGGCTGGATAAAATCCAGGTGTCATTTTAGCTTTGCCCAAAAAATGTTTAAGAGGTTTCGGTTTTGGTCTGTATATGAATAACAGCTTTCTGCCTGACTGACAGTAGCAATGTCAAGCCCATTTCTTGCTGACTTCTATTATAAATATGCACAGTCTTTGGAGGCTCCCCCAATTTTGTAGCATTTGTGGCTCCACTGAGTTTATCCACATTCTTCTGGAATTGCACCAATATGAGTGTGTGTAGCATGGACTCTCAAGGCTGCATTCTTCCCTGTGATAGAACTAGTATTGGTGCAAGGACACAGGAAGAGTAACTTTTACTCCTCTTTTCTAAGAGCCAGACTAGCGTGCCTCCTCTTTTAGGCCTCCCTCAACTTTTGATTCAGCTAAGATGTGCCGGGGTGCACCACTGCTCCAGCTCTTCCACCTTGTGCTAACACTGTGGCTCCCCTGGTGGTCTGCAATGCGCCTTCCTGTAAATGGTGTATGATGCTGATTCTGTACCTCTCATAGAAAACTTTCCAGTCTAGAGATATTCTTAGGAGAAGCCTTATGACCCCTTTGAATGTGTGTAGCTGGTACAGTGCAGAAGGGCTGAAGTGAAGGATTAAATTCTCCTGTTTGCATATATATATTCTTCTATATTAACAATAAGGCAGCACAATCATTGCATTTATGGGGCCATACTAGGAAGTTTAAAATTGCTCTGCCTTTGGCTTTGTGCCTTGCTATTACACCACAAGAGGCAAGTGCTAATCATTTGGAATAAATGCAGTACCTGCTGTGTATTATATTGCTTCATTCTTACCAGCAGAATTTGTGCCAGCTACCCATTTCACTGGATGGCTGATCATTATTCCCTAATAATTAAAACAAAAAAAACTGCCCCAGAAATTCAATGTGTCAGAACCCATCACATGTATCAACAGGCTTTTAAAAATGTATAGTCCCTTAATTAATTAATCATCCTAGGGAAGAGTTCTTTAAATCAGTCTTTAAAATGAAATCGGCCAGTGTTAATACAGGGAGAAAACAGTTTGTTCCTCAAATAACAAGCTTTAAAAAAATTGTGTTTGCATATTGTACTTCTCCCAAATGTCCAACAGCAGCCTGATCTTTAAAGGGAGTGGAGGTTAGGTGCTCTCTATAAAACATTGCCTCACTAAGGGTGTGGACACAAGAATTTTTGGAGCCCTCTCAAAAGGGCAGCAACTGGTATATTCTAATTGTTATGTGTAAACGAGCTGAGAATGAGTCAAATGCAGTAAAACTGCTCCAGCAAATGTTCAAATACAGACTAAAAACCAAGGGTTACGGAAGTGCTTAGGCACCTACACATGTAGGCAGGAGCTTAGTGGAATTTCCAAAACTGCCTTGGCCTAGGTGCTTTTGAAGATCTCATTCAGTGTTTTCTTGAATCCTAAGGCATAGAAATATGTTTAAAAATCTAGCCCCAAGTCACTACAGTTCTTGCCATGATAGCCATTTAGTGACCGATATAAAATGAGTCTGCTGAGTTCAGTCCCCTTCTCGTTTCACACACCACCACATTTAACACATTATTGTTACCCTTGTTAGCTGTTAGCAGCCAAAAGGCCCCAACAGCTGAACAGACATGAAATCTGAATTAACCTTTGTGAGAGGGACACTGTTGCTGCCTGTACTGCACTGTTTTTATTAAGGCAGGATGAGATGATATTTAACTGTTATTTTTATTTTAATCTTATGTAGCACAGCAGTAGGGACCCACAGTAATCTGAGCCCACTGGAGTCTGTCTGCCCTCACTGTCTGGTACCTTTCTTTTCAAAATGGAAGTTGCTTGGACTTCTGCAGCAACAATTCATATCCATACATTGCAGTACCCCCTTTGCACATGTGTCAAATTTGCTCTCTGTTTGCATAAAGGATTTTGGTCTGCTGGACAGACTAGCCTAGCACAGCTCACTAGCAGCAAATATAGAGAGAAAAAAGAGCTTTCAATTAATCTCTAATTGACAATGGCTATTGCCTTTGATAGCAGGATGCATGGCCCCATGGTGGAAAGTGTTTCATAGCAAGGTTGTAGCACAAGGCAGCCACATGCTCCTGGCTACTATGGACCTGTCAATGGTCAGTAGAAATCCAAAATGGGGCAGGACTAGGCAATGAGACGGGGTGGTTTATGCTAGTCCAGTGTGTCCCCATTATAGCCAACAGCAAGAGGGCTGCTAGAAGATCCCCAGCTAGTTTTTCATGATGGAACCTCTGAACTAAAAGTAGCAGAGGAGATACTGCCTGTGAAATACTAGGCCACAGCGATTGGAACATGTCTCTCTGAGTATCTGTTCTCTCACTCTGTGACCCAGTTTTGTAATGCACCCTCTTATCCATATCTTGCATTGTCCTAGCCCATCTCAGGGTCTGCACCTGCCAGGTCCCCAACCCACGCTCCCTGACTGCTTTTCCCATATTGCTTTACAACATTTTGCTCTAACTGCCCTTTTTTCTCTCAGCATTTTTCAGATGTTTCCTGCAGACAGGAAAAGGGTAGAAGGAGCTTTAAGTGCCTGTCACCTTCCAAAGGGCAAGGTGAGTATTTCATTATGGTAAAAATTCTCCATAACTTCAGAAAAATGTATTCACTGCCATTGCCTTCTTGACAGTGTTACAGTTATCCATGAAGAGAACAATTATCCATCCCCTCTGACACTATATAGAGTCACAGAGTTATAGAGAAGAAGGGTTGGAATGGACCTCCAGAGGTCATCTAGTTCAACCCTCTGCCTGAGGCAGGATCATCTCTATCCAAAGAATCCCATACAAACCATAATCTATACTCCACATAAGAGTACCATAAAACCTGCCACAGGTAAAGTGGGGGAACCACAGCAGCCAATGACCTGCTTTTATAAATGTTGTCAATATGGGCTCAAGAGGTCCTGGGTAAAGGGCCACGTCCCCTGCTACAGAGGAAGGCAAAAAACCCCACAGTCCATACCAATCCAACTGTGGGGTAAAATTCCTTTCTGACCCCAAATATAGCAATCAGTTTGACCCTGAATGGAGGAGCAAAACCCTCTAGGCAGAAACCTCTGCCTTTGATCCCAGCAGGAGCATTGGCACACTCCAGTCAAAGTCCCCAGCCTTGGCTGTAGTCAACACCCAGGGCCTCTGAGGAAGACTTAAAAACACCGTGGCATATAGCACAAAAGGGGCAGGGGCAACCAGTAAAGCTCAGAAGCATGGGAAATAGCCATGGTAGAACACAGGCATAAGCACATCTAATCATCTCCGACTAGTGGCTGGCCAACCTCTTCTTGAACATCTTGAGTGATGGACAGTCCACAGCTTCTCTAGCAGTCTGTCCACTGCCTCATGGTTTTAACAATGAAGAAGTTTTTCCAGATATTCACTTTAAATTTAGTTTGCTGGAACTTCAAGCCATTGGTCTACATCAGGGGTGGGCAAAATATGGCCTGCAGGCCATTCTACTTGGCCCACGGGGCCCCTAAATGATTTAGAAAGTTAATATTTATCTGCCCCTGGCTGCCTGTCAAAGATGACAGCTGCCAGGGAAGTAGGACCCAGCGGGAGCTGGTGGCAGAACTAAACAGCCACAGCAGCAAGTGTGGCCTGGTGCCGCCCTCCTCCCCACCATACATCCCAGCCAGAAGCCTCTGCCTAACACAGGCTGCTGGAGGCTTCTGGTCTTGGACTGTTGCTGCCCCCTCATTCTGAGGGAAATACAGATAAGAAGGAGGGAGGGAGGGGGGCAGGGGAGGAGTGTGGGTAATTGCCCCAGTTCTCAGGGCTGGCCAGGCTGGCTCCTGCAGTCCTGGGAACCACATGGTACCAGCAGGCATGCAGGGGGGAGCAGGGAAATGACTGCAGCAGGTGTGGGGAAGGGGCAGCGAGCAGGTGCACACAGCACAGCACAGCACAGCACAGCAACAGCCAGGTAGGAGGAAGGGGCCTGAGCAGTGCACCAGGGCCAGCACCAAAAGGACCCAGAGTGGGGCAGCAGGAGCACAGGCCCCAGGCTGCCAGGCGCTCTATGGAACCAGAGTGGCTCCCTCCCACCCCCCACCCCCACTTGAGCAGCACAGCCCAGCTCCATAGAGCCCCTGGCAGCCTGGCTCCATGCTCCTGCTGCCCCACTCTGGGCCCTGCCAGCGTTGGCCCTGGGGCACTGGCCCAGGCCCCACTCTCCTGTCCAGCTGTTGTTGCGCTCTGTGCACCTGCTCGCTACCCCTTCCCCTGCCTGCCACTGCCATTTCCCTGCTTCCCCCTTCCTGCTGTGGTCTGGCACCATGTGGTTCCCAGCTGCAGCGCTAGGACTGTGGGAGCAGGTGGGACATGGTGCTGGAGCAGTGGGGGGCGGGGGAAGCGGCAGGAGAAAGGCAGCAGTGGCAGACGGAGGGCAAGTGGCAGCAAGCAGGAGCACAGGTCCACACCGGTGCCCTGGGGCCAGGAGCGGCAGAAACGCAGAGCCTGGGCTTGCAGGAGCACTGGTGGGGGCTCTGCCTGCTGCAGGGGCGAGCTGTGGGCAAACCCTCCCCCTCCATGCAAGCCACAACCCTCCCTAGCCACCCTTCCCCCACACACTCAAAGCCCCCCACAAAACCCATACCCACCCACACCCCACACACCCACATACAACCCCTGCCCCACACCCCACATACCCACAAACCTATGCCCATTCTCCTGCCCACACCCCCCAAATATACAAGAGTAAGACTTCATTTTAAGCTATTGTACAATCACCTCTATGTATACTACACAAACACATGTAAATCAGGACAAAAATATTTTTTTAAATTAAATTAATGAATGTCATAGTACATGTTTGATTTTTAGAATATAATTTGGTATTTTTCTGGTTCAGAGATGGCAAAACCCCTTGCTGAAAGGAGTAATTCCCGGGGGCAAGGGGAGGGACTTCTGGTGGCAAAGGTCAGGGGTTAGCGGGCAGGTCTTTTGGTCCCAAGATGGTGACTAGGGGGTGGGGTACCTGTCAAGGGGCAGGGTTACCCATGCAGCCCCCAATGGCTTGCCCAAACTCAGTAAGCAGCCCTCCACCCAAAATAATTCCTCGCCCCTGGGCTACATCCTCCTGTCTGCAGCTAGAGAGAAAAGGCCATTTCCCTCTTCCTTATGGCAGCTCTTCAGTTATTTGAAGACTGCCATCATGTCAACTCTTAAGTGCCTTTTCCACAAGCTGAACATACCTAGCTCCTTCAGCTCTCCTCATATGGCTGCTTTCCAAGCCCTTTATCATCTTTGTTGACTGCGTGTAGACCCTTTCTAACTTCTCCACATCCTTTTTAAATGTGGAGCCCAGAACTGTACACAGTACTTCGATGAGGCCTAACTAGCGCTGAACAGACAGGCGCTATCATTTCCTGTGTTTTGCACCTAATTCTTCTACTGATGCAGCCCAAAACCACATTCACCTTTTGTGTAGTTGCCTCGCACTGCAGATTCATATTGAGTTTGTAATCGATCTACCAAGACTCACAAGTTCTTTTCCATAGTGCTACAATCCAGCCAGGTGTCACCCGTTTTCTATTTGTGTTTTTGATTATTTCTCCTGAGGTGTAGCACTTTGCATTTGTCTGCATCAAGCTTCATCCTGTTAACTGTAGCCCAACTTTCCAATCTGTCAAGAACCTTCTAATTGCACTCACATCCTCCAACGCAATCACAGTCCTTCCCAGTTTTGTGTCATCTGCAAACTTGCTTCAAGAAGCTTTGTGTGCCAACATCCAAAACATTAAGAAACACAGTGAACAGCGTTGGGTCCAGTACAGACTCCTGTGGGACTGCACTTGAAACCTCCTGCCATTTCTGATATAGACCAGTTAACAATTACTCGTTGTTTGCAGCTATTGATCCAGTTATCTGTCTATCTTATAGTAGTTTTATCCAGTCCACATTTTTCCAATTTGTTTATGAGAAGGTCGTGTGAGACCTTGTCAAAATTCATACCACTTCATAGCACCACCCTGGCACTAGACCTGCCAAGTCTCGCAGCAGGTCAGTGGCAATTTCAGGACTATAATCCTGGTCTTCTGAATCCCAAACCAGTGTATTGTTCCCTAACCACTCTGCCTTCCTGACCAACACCAAGCTACAGTCACACAACTGCCCCCCTGAAGTAACTTAGTATAGACTTTTCTCAGCAGCCTTATGACTTTTCCTTAGGTGCTCTGCCTACTAATGGGGTGTAGGTTATAGCCATGTTGGTCTAAGGACATAGGCAGACATAGGTAGGTTCTTTGGGTGAATCTGATACCTTTTTATTACACCAACTTAAATAGTTGGAAAAAATGTTATAGCAAGCTTTCAAGTTTAAAAACCCTTCGTCAGGCTGAGGAGGTCTCTGCCGTTGGTGTGTGCTCTTCCTAATGCACACTTCTGCAAACTGCAGCACTCCAAGCACTATACAGCATGGACATGAGACTATAGATGATGAGGTATAACAAGGCAGTGAAGGCAGCTATTATACTGATATATTGTTTCTTTTGCAGAATGATGCCATTAATCCAGAAGACTTTCCTGAACCAGTGTATAAAAGCTTCCTGATGAACTTGTGTCCCCGGCCAGAGATTGATGAGATATTCACCTCCCAGTGAGTCTCTGTAATCCTGTAGGGGCAGGCCTTGTTTCATGAGGGAAAGAGACAGACAAACGGGGGGCAATAAAGGAGGGAGAATGTTGTACTTTTAAAAAGCAGTTACTGGTCTGTATGAAGTGACCCAGGAGGCAGGTGCCTGTGTCATAAACAGCTGTGCAGTTAGCCTTTTCATATGCAGTCTAAACAGAGAGGGTAAGGATTCACTGGGTGCAGCTACATATGCAATTAAGGTGACACAATAAACTCAGAAGCACTTTAAACCAGAGAAAACTGCTCTTGGGTGCAGCATCTACATGTACACCCAGGGCAGCAGCAATTTGAGCTGGGGAGAAGTAGCTCTAGGCTGTTAAGAGGCATGGGGGGTCAGACCTGGGCTCTGGGTGGTGGTGTTGGGTGGCAGAGGGGCTGGCTGGGGCATGAGGGTGCTAAAGAGCAGAGCCATATGGTTAGGGAGCAGGCAGTCCCCACACTTTAGCACTGTCATGTCCCAGCCAGCCACAGTCACTGTCTACACATGCATTTCAGCAGTTACTTTCTCTTCCATAAGATGATACTGTCCTTGGCAGTACTATCTTACAGTAGAGTTAATTAGTTTACTGTGCCCTAATGTACATATAGATTTTGACGTTTTACTGCAGAGCTAATTAATGTGCTCCTTGTGGCGGGCCAGTAGGGGGCGCTCCTGCGTTGAGCCGCCCACCTCCCTGCGCCCGCCCACCTTCCAGGCTCCTAATGCCTCCCTAGGGTCACCTTGCGTCCAGCCGAACCCCTTCCTGGAGCACACTCGCTAGCCTTTAGACCCACCGCTCAATAAGTCTCTCACACCAGTCACAAGTGAGGACTTCACTGAGTACAGGGGTAGGGTGAAAATTATGCCTAAGAGACCCCTTACGTCTGAGGACTAAGGGAGTCAATACTTTTTGCCCCCGGACTTGGGGAAGTGCCCCAAGTGCCTGTACTGGGTCGAGTACCCGTAGGACATTAGGCCTGTGTTTCCCCAAGGACACAGGGCCGAGAGCGAGTCCATTTTCGGGGTGGTGGCGGCAACGTTACCGCCAGGCTAGCGAGTGTGCTCCAGGAAGGGGTTTGGCCGGACGCAAGGTGCCCCTAGGGAGGCATTAGGAGCCTGGAAGGTGGGCGGGCGCAGGGAGGTGGGCGGCTCAACGCAGGAGTGCCCCCTACTGGCCCGCCACACGTGGTGTTAGAGGTGGGATCCGAATACCCTGCTGTTTTACAGGCATAATTTGGGAAGAGTAATAAAGTCTCTGAAATCCCTTGAGCAAACATTTTCTAATTTGGCATCGGGTCAACTGGATAGTGTAGATAGCCAGGATGGCGGACCAGTATGTCCAAATGACCGTGCCTGAACTAAAAGAACGGGCGAAAGAGAGAGGCCTTCATGTGAAGAAAGGGCTAAGGAAGGAGGAACTGATTAATCTCCTGTGCGACAATGACTCAGCCTCAG